AATACTTATTAATTGACTAAAATATATGGTTAAAAATGAAATTTGATATAAATGGTTTATAAATTTACCCAACATGAATTTTTTTGTAACTAAAAATGTTAAATACACGAAAAAAAACTACCTAAAAATATTTTTTTCTAAAATAATATCCTACTCCTCAAGGCGCATCCTACTCCTGTTTTTGAAAGTTGCGTTTTCACCGTGTTCGAACCTACCACCTGCTGATGTTGATTCTGAGCAATAGGGGATGGTTGGGGACAATGGACAGGGGCGTCTTGAGGTGGAGAATCGATTGGAATGTTGGGCTTTGCATGGGTGTCGCCGAAAAAAGGAGTCGTCGGCCGATTTTAGCAAAATGAGCAGGCGATTTTTGTCCAAATTTTCGACAATTTCAGGGCTGTTCGAGGCATGATATTGGGTGGGAATTGAAGGGCATAGTGAGGGCTTTGTAGTGGTGTTAATGTCCGGCGGTTTTGGTGGTGGTTGGCCAGCGTTTTTGGCCATCAAAGGGGGTGGCAGGAGGAGATTCCAGCAGTTTTCAGATTTTCGAGTAGCTGAATTTGAGAGTTGATTTCGGCAAGATTATTTGGTGTTTTGGGGAGTTGCTGGGTGGTGATTGTAGAGGAAGTTAAGAGCTTTCCATTGATGCCAATATCCGGTGGTTTTGGTGGTCGGAAGGTGGCTGAAAATAGCTCTGACGTTGGCGGCTGATTGGGGGCAAGAAATTAGTATTTGTGATTTAAAAGTAGGTTTTAAGGATTTGGGATTATCATTGCAATTAATTCTTTAGTTTCTCTTTCGTTTCTTTTTATCTCAATTGAATGGAGGGTAAAATCGTCAAAAAACAGTGAAAATGATGTTCAGCGCACCAAAACCCCAAAGGTAAGGGCATAAATGCCAAGAAATGAAAGGTAGGGATGGTTTCCGAAATTCACCCCAAATGTAGGGACGTTTTGTGCTAATTAGCCAAAAAATTACTATTATAAAACACACTTTTTCTAAAAATAGGGCTCAAACAAGGGCTTAGACAGTAAAACAATAGCCTGAGTATGATTTGATGACACTTGCAAATTAGCATCCACCTAACGCATATGTGGTTGATTTTGCAACACGTATGGTGAACCATATTAGGGCTTGCGGGCCGACTATCGTCTTGCACGGAATATTTTGGACTCGACTTTCCCATAACTTGCTTGCAAATGAGTTGAATGGTCCATACTTACTATGAGGTGAACGGTTCATCTCAAGTCCCATTTCTAATTACTGGGTCCCCTTCATCTCCAAATGACTCTTATAAGACCTCAATTTCCTAGAATGCAACAATTTTTAATAAAATATTACAACACGCTTTGATGCCAAACTGTGCCAACAACACGGGCACATGCAAATGGAAAATCTTGTCCCTCTTGGCTTTTCATAAATTATTTCATTCGATTTTGATTTCATTCCTTCTTTATTAATTATTACATTTTATTTTTGGGGTCCCACTTTCCTCAATCAAACTTTTGTAATGAGAAACATTAGATTAGACATCTGATTAACATGATACTAATGATTGAGTTAGCTAACTTTAGATATTATAATTATATTGGGGGTGACATTAAAAAAAAAAAAAGAAAAGAAAAAAGCATGAGTTTTAATTAATGTTGACAGATCCTAGTCAATTTAATAACGTTTGTGGACATGCCTGCAAGAAGTCGACTTTGAGAGTGACAGTCATTAAAAATAATGGTGAATATTAATAAATAAGTAAAAAAAAAAAAAAAAAAGTAGTGGTATGCATTTCACTTAATTAGTGGTGATGCTTATGCCACTTGGAAATTTATTGAAGTAGCCTTTGTTGACGTTGTTTATTTTAGGTATGTGAGGTTAGTTAATTCGGTCCGTCTTATAGTACGGTACGATATTGTGGAGATAATTTTAGGATTAAGGTTATATATAAATAATTTCGTGTAATTCTATTTGAAGTTAATAGATTATTTGCTTTGCAAATTGAACACGGACACGTTATCAAATCACTTAAATTTCTCTGTGTCGATCTTTTTATTTTTCTTCTTTTTGAATATTTTGTTCATGTTGCATAATTTTCCTAATCTTTATAAAGTGACGAATAGTTGACATGTGTAACAAAAGTTGTAAATACTTAGTTTTTGCTTGTTCTACATTTTTTCTTCATTTTTAAAAAAAATGTACCTTTGAAGGGTCCCACCTGACCATTTTTTTTGACTTTCACCTCACGTTTTCGTTGAATTGCACGCTTCAACGGTACAATTTTTCATTCTCCTTGAAATAATGCCGTCCAAACAGAGGCTTATATTGACAAAATTCCAACCTTGAATTAGTGGTGGATCCACTGTGTTTTACTTCGTACAAAAGCGTGTAGATTTGCTTGGAAAATAATATCATCCAATTAAATCTTACATCTGTTTTGAGGCTGCCGCGTCAAGGGTTCGAATTCTGAAATATGAATTTGGTCCTTGGGTAAGTGCAAGTGTACAAGCAGCCTTTCACCCTATATTCTTGGAGGCATAATATGCGATTTACCTCCTTCACTAGCCCAAGACAGGGCAGGTGGGGACCGCCAAGGATGTGGTTCATCCTTCATCCAATTAAATCTTACAATACGTTATGATTGTTCTACATATATAATTAGATTAGATCTTTAATTTTTTTTTTTTTTGCTCATGTGATTCACATTATTGGGATTGCTCTTAAACTAAGAGAGGATTTGGCTAAGGAAGTAAAATTATTTTAAATTTTATTTGTTTATTGGAATTTCGGCATAATTTTGAGTGGAACCCATTTCTTCTCTTTGGAAAATTAAAGTAGATTCTTGTTCTTCATGCGAATATCAAAATTATATATGTACTTGCACAAAATGATGTTCCGGTGAATGAAAAATTAAAGTTTAAAAGTGAAATCCTAGGAAGTGGTTTAGGTGTTGGAAAGAAAGCAATTGTAGCTTATCCCACATACGACAAATGATAATGCAATTACTACTTTATATATGGACATATTTTTGAAAGTGTAAGTAATCATAACATAGAGGTTCTCTATATTCATGCATACAAAAGTTGCAAATCAAGGACTGGAGTATCACGTGTGTTAAACTTGTGTACAAACATGACCTACGAACAAGAATATTTGGCCCCTTTATGCCTATAATAGTCGGTCTATTAAATCACTCATTGAAGCCTATAAAAGACGTCATCAAGCATTTATAGTGAATATATGTGAAACATGCAATAGACAACACATTATTTGTCTAACATTTTGTACCCCCAACCCATAGAAAAGATTGGACACTTAGAAGCCATGTGACTACCACATGCACCGGACAAATGTTGTTACATAGTCAATCCTCTATTAAATTAATGAATGTGTAATTTAAATAGAATTCGATTTCTATCATGCTTCATTTTGCCATTTTAGGGCAAATTATACCTTGTTGCTAAATAAAAACCCTTCTTCTAAAATGATTATTTCATAGATTAGGTTTAACTAAACTTAAAAGTTTGTTTTTTCTTTCTTTCTTTCTTTTCTTTTCTTTTTTTTTTCTTTTTTTTAGTAAATTGACTCTATAATTATAAGATAATAGAAAAATATTTCATATATTTTTATTTATTAGATACATTTAATTTTATTTAAAATACAACTTATTCAGCCTTTGTTTGGCCTCCATATTAATTAGATTTGAAGAAAAATGTATTTTGGAATAGTAATTTTTTGAAAAAATTGTGGTTAAAAAAGAAGGATTTTTTATTTATTTACGAGTAATATTTTTATTTTTTTAATTCGAGATTGTGTGATTGATAAAAATAGAGTGAAAAATGAATTATAATTTTAATGGAGTCCGAGCTCAATATATTTTTAGATCATATTTGATATTCAATGTTGAACATGATTGGACGTAAAAATGAATAATGTCATAATTATTCCTTAATATTCTTATGTTGTCAACCAAATTATTTAACAAAACATGTCATTAGAATGCAAACAGCTCTTTATATACATTTGGACTAAAATTTGAAGCCTTCTTTGTGTACCATGGCATATATTTTTCTTGTTTTATTTAATTTTCCAGAAATAAGCTTACAGTGTATCTCTAATGCAATTATTTTTGGCTAATTTGCTGTCTCCAAAAAGGATAATAAATAAAGCATAATTAATTGCATTCAAGAGAGACTTATCAAACTAATTTTTTTGTACCCTTTATTTAGAGTCTATTTGATATAAATTTTTTTAGAATATATTTTATAAAAAGTGATTTTTTTTTAAAGAATTTAGTGATTAAAAAGTAAAAAAAAAATTATAAGTCCATATGTTGAACTATTTTATTGGAAAAATGAATGGTTCACAGCGAATTTGAAATAAATAAATTAATTAAATATTTGTACCAAACATGGGCTTGATCACATCGAATCTCGTATCACTAAAATTTAAGATTATAAATCATTATAAAACTTTCATTGTTGAAAGAAACAAGAATCCATTGATATTGTCAATTTTAAACTACATTTTTTGCATTTTTTCTATGCAATTTATTAATTTTTGTTGACATGTTCGGAAAATCTTAAAAAATATAATTATTTTTAAATAACTTTTAGTCTCTTAACATGTTTCGAAAATCTACTATATTTAAATTATCGCTTAAAGTTGTAGGCTTATAAATTTTTTTTATGTTAAGTGTACATTCTATGGGTTAAATTTTGGTATACATTGTGTGAAAATTTTAAAAATGTTGGACAGAAAAGTTTTTTAAAAAAAACTGTCCTTCATTTGTCAATACGTTACAATGTAAAAAATACAAGACGAAGATATTGCATGATTTTACATACAAATGAATAAAAATGCTGTCAATTTAATCGGCTAAGCAAGAAGTCTCTGTGATAATTTCCACGCATTGACTGGTTCAAGCCGACATCTTGAATATGATATTCATTTCGGAGTCCTATGTTACAGTAGAGTTTCTCGAAGGAAGCTAATAGCCCCTGAAGGAGATGACCAGAGCATATGACAATTGGGGGAGACTAGTCGAAGCCACATTGAGGAGAGAAGAGCTCCGGCAGGTCGCTCGTGAAGACTCGCTATCTAGCTCATTCGGCTCAGATTTTGATTTAAGCTTCCGTTTGAATGAATCGACTCTGAACTTTCAGGATATGGGAATTTCATTTACGAAATAGCAAATTATATATCAGAATGGTTCGACGAACCAAAGAGGCACTGCCACGGGCCCTATTCCTACAGGTGAAAGTCCTCCGCCTCCTGGAGTGTCCTTGAATTTTTCAAGTCTAGGAGATTTGTTTATATATCTCCAAGCCACGGCTGAATTTAGCGATGCAAATCTAATCAAGCATGGCCATTATGCGGATTGTATACCAAAATTTAATTCGTAGAATGTACACTTAACACAATCTACTATATATATTTTTTTCAAATCTATTTTCAATCATAAATTTTTTTAATAAATAATTTTATAAGTAGATTTTTATTATTTTTTTAATTATTTTTTAACAACACATTTAAAAAAATATATATATATTTTACAAAATCTATTTCTCCAGCCTCTTATTTATGAACAAATCATTTTCTGGGGTATATATTATAAGAATATAGATTTTTTTTTTCTTTAGCCATTTTTTTCCTCCTCAAGTTGAAGCATCAACCCGCACAAAGTTCTCCCATCTCTCTCTCTAGATCTAAAGCTATAGCCGTACATACGTGTTCTCCTCACTCTCTCTCTCTCTCTCTCTCTCTCTCTCTCTTCAACTTCTCATTCCGTTATTGGATGAACGTTTAGGCTAGATTTCATCGCCAAATATATAGGAAAAATCCCATTTTCCAGCTATATTTTTGGAAAATCTTTTAACTCGTTGTTCTGTAACCCATCGAAGATTCCATTTATAATTATAAAAATAAATTGTTTACATTTCTTCAACCATCCCTTTTGTGCTTGGCATCAAATCGAAGGCTCTAACTTGAAATTGATTTGTGGGTTTTGTTTAAATTTATCTAGTTTAGGGTTTCTGAAGTTTCATAGGTTTTTTGATCCAAAAAGTTTGAGTCTTGAGTTGGAAAGTCAACATTTGTGGCAGTGTTTCGATCTAACCTTTGTTGATTGCTAATATTGATTCATTGTTTAGATGCTTTCTGGATAAATATGCAGCCTGATCAGAGAAAAAAGGTATTAATTCTTCAATTATTCACGTAGTATCTAATATAAATATAAGTGCTATTTTGTATTATGGGAATAGTTTCTTAATGTAAGTTAGGAATAATTGTTGGGATTCCTGACGTTTGTACTTAATTTTCAAGCTTAGATCCCACTAGAAAAAATCATTTTATTTGAAGATTAGATTTGTGGTTTTCAGATATCAGGATTGATTTTATTTCCCTTTGGGTGTAAGAGTTGCAGCGAATTAGGGAATAAATGTGTATTTGTTGTAAGTTTGTTAGGTAGTTCTATGTTTTATTTGTCTGGTTGCAGGTTTTTTCACTGAGCTTCTTCCCTTGAGGACATTCTTAGATCACTGATTTTAGCAAAATTATAGGTGCATTGACTTTCATTGACTTTGGTGAGAAATTATTCAAATCTTCTGTAAATTTTAATGATTGACCAAGTTTTGTCATCTTTATCTTTTCTTTGCATTGCTAGGCAGTGAAGAATATTGTTAAATTGGATTTTGTAAAGGATTAAGTTTAGTAGAGAGTTAAAAAATTGGTTCCCATTGTATCTCTACCTAGGCTGAAAAATAAAATTGTTCAGTTTTCATTGGAAAATGGTGTTACGAGGTGGATCTGTAAGGTTTTAACATATATAACAAGTAAAAATAAATGAGTCAGATGTCGAAAATAGTGAAACTTTTCTCTACTTTTCTTGTCATTAAGAAGTTGGGTTCTGATGTTAATATAGACTGGTTTGGGGAATGGTTACTTTTTCGATATTGACAGATATCTTAAATTAAATTGTAGTCATGTTACATGTTATTGAACCAACATTGTAAATTACAAAATGTTAATATAATGGTATATCGTTACGTGATGGTGCAGGGGTCTGTGGATGTAGATTTCTTCACACAATATGGTGAAGGAAGCAGATATAGAATTGAGGAAGTGATTGGTAAAGGTAGTTATGGTGTTGTCTGCTCTGCATATGACACTCATCTTGGGGAAAAAGTTGCAATTAAAAAGATTAATGACATCTTTGAGCACGTCTCTGATGCAACACGTATACTTCGGGAGATTAAACTTCTTAGGCTTCTTCGTCATCCAGACATTGTGGAAATCAAGCATATTTTACTGCCTCCTTCTAGAAGGGAATTCAAGGATATATACGTAGTTTTCGAACTAATGGAATCTGATCTCCACCAGGTCATTAAAGCAAATGATGATTTGACCCCTGAACATTACCAATTCTTTCTTTATCAGCTTCTTCGAGGCATGAAGTACATACACACAGGTTTTGATTGCTACACTTTTGTTATAGACCCTTTTTTATATTTGGATTACAGTTAATGCTCCTCTATAAACATTATTTATGCTAAAATATACTTGCTGCAAATAGTTCTTAAATTGTAGGTGCAATTGTTTCATCGGTTCTCTGAAATGCTTTTCTTTTCGCAGCAAATGTTTTTCACCGTGATTTGAAGCCGAAAAACATTTTAGCAAATGCTGACTGCAAACTAAAGATCTGTGACTTTGGCTTGGCAAGAGTAGCCTTTAATGACACTCCTACCGCTATATTTTGGACAGTATGTTTCTTTTCTTTAATTTCTCGGGAACTGTTTCATTTTCATGCTTTGCCTGATTGAATCAGTTGCCCTTTATGCATAAAAGATCACATGATCTTGAAAAAACTAGGGATATTTGTCATGCAAATTTTTAACATTGTTGTAGGACTATGTTGCAACGAGATGGTATCGGGCTCCTGAATTGTGTGGATCATTTTTCTCAAAGGTACAAATTGCTTCCCCTTTCTCATATTACCGACTTGTAGAAAGAAATTGATATCCCTACCTTCATTGTGCAGAAAAAGTATTTCATTTCAACATGTTATTTGTTATCTTTTTTGCAGTATACACCTGCAATTGATATATGGAGCATTGGTTGCATATTTGCTGAACTTTTGACAGGCAAACCTCTTTTTCCGGGAAAAAATGTGGTTCATCAATTAGATCTCATGACTGATCTGTTGGGTACACCACCACCAGAAACCATTGCAAGGGTGTGTGCTTGTGATAGTTGATTTTATACAGGGAAGAGTCATAACATCAAACGTTTAGTTGGCTTTTTTTGTTTGTTCACCTATTAATTCGTATGACAGATAAGGAATGAAAAAGCCCGGAGATACTTAAGCAGCTTGCGAAAGAAGAAGCCCATTCCTTTCTCTCATAAGTTTCCAAATGCTGACCCCCTTGCTTTACGCTTATTAGAAAGGATGCTTGCCTTTGATCCTAAGGACCGACCTTCTGCAGAAGAGGTATAAGATGTGTTTTGTATAACGTTAACTTGTCATTCTTAATCCTGCTTTCTAAAAGGTGTTGTGAACTTTCAGGCTCTTGCAGATCCATACTTCAGGAACCTGGCCAAAGTTGAGAGAGAACCTTCTGCACAACCAGTGACAAAAATGGAATTTGAGTTTGAAAGACGAAGGATAACCAAGGACGATGTGAGAGAGTTAATATACCGAGAGATTCTTGAATATCACCCTAAAATGTTGAAAGAATTCTTAGAGGGAGCTGAACCTACAGGCTTCATGTATCCAAGGTATTGTTGTCAATAGATTATATGAATACAATTTATACATGTTTATTAGCAATGGCTCTTTTTTATATCTATTTCATTGCATTAACTTTTTATGTTTCTCTTTTTATAGTCATCCTTCAGGAATATGTTGGGAAATAATTTGGCTGTAATGAATTTCTAGATCTTCATATTTTATTTATAGGTCCGGATTTCTAGGTTTGTGGTTTTGTACCAATGCTCAAAAGGAACCTATACATTTGGTAACCCATTGAAATCTCATGTCCCTCTTCTCTGGAACTAGGTTGAGAACTAAAATTTAAGCTTGTGAAGACAAAGTTGATCCTCCTACTTCATGTAATAGGGATTTATGTGTACTGATAGTATCTGTACATAGATGATAGATGGTTGTGATTACATACAAAGCAAGCCATATGAACTGTGATCTAATATATATAATGATAGATGAATCAAAAACTTTCAGTTGAACTTATTCTTTCAATTGGTATTTTACTAGATTTATGTCATTCATTGAATCTGTTTGAGCAAGCTACAATTTTAGAACTTAACTGCCAAGTATAAGCTCTCATTTATAGTGAAGTTGGAGTCATAATAAGATGTTTAGATAACTGTAGAACACTTATTTTAAATTTTTTTTTGTATGTACTTTCGCATTAGGTTTACAAAATTCGTGGTAATTTGGGATCCATGTCATACTTATTTATATTTTTGTTTTAAACTATGCATCAGAAATTAAAGCAACTACTGTTGATTATCCCATTTTGCTTCAGTTCTCTGTCTTTTCTTTTTCCTCTTCTATTTAGCTTCATTGCGTTCACCCTTGTAGCATGTTTGATCGCACGTATCTGCCAATTAGGGTCCTGAACCATCAAGTTACTGTGTTTATCTTGCCCTTTTTTACATGGTTTTTAATCTTTTTGCCTCCTTTTCGTTCCCAGTGCTGTCGACAAATTTAAGAAACAATTTGCGTCTCTGGAAGAGCACTACGGAAATGGGACTACTGCTCCACCTGAGAGGCAGCATTCATCATCTTTGCCCAGGTTAACTTCAATAAATGTTTAGCTGTTTCTATATCCTTGATATGTGTTACAGTTGAATAAGTTGGAATTGCCAGTTATTACACATTTTACCATAAGTGGAGACTGAAAGATTCTCTCATGCAGGCCATGTGTATTACATTCGGATAATTTGACACAGAATTCTGCTGATATCACAAATGATCTATCCAAATGTTCCATTAAAGAAAATGAGAAGCCACAAGTGGACCGGATGTCTGGACTTCCAAGGTTTCCTCCCCAAGTTCCTCAAAACATCCCAGGTTTCATATTTACACTGAATATAAACTCAATATGGACATTTTTTGCTTTTTTTTTTTATTGTGTAATCAATAGACGTATTGCCAAGTTTCTTGTTTGAGTGCCTATGTATGTTACCATGAAATGAAGGAATAGAGCTTTTCAACAGTTAGTCACCTGAACAGAACGCTAAATGCTCCTACTTAGGTAAAAGGTGAATTTAATACAAGAAGTTGATATGCTTGGTTTTCTCACATTTGATCTAGAAATCGCAGAGGTTATTTGCTGCAACTCCATACTAATTTGCTTAGAAAAAACTAAAAAAGCAAATAAGCCCACTCAAACAAGCTTAGTTAACATTGTTAGACATTTCCTAGGCCATCACATGCACTTTTTAGGCGCCCTTCCAGTTCTGGGTTTAGTTCTAATAGCTGTTTGTTTTCACAGCAGGGGGTGTGGCAAGGCCTGGGAAGGTCATTGGCTCTGTTTTACATTACAACAATAGTGCAGCAGCCATAGCAGAGGCCAATGAACATCGAAAAATGGTTAGGAATCCAGCAATACCAGCACAGTATATTGTTCCCGGCTCATCTTACCCAAGAAAGTACTCGGGCTGTAAGAATGAAAGGGGAGATGGTACTGAAGGATCCAATGGGGTCCAGCAGAAACAAGACATGTACATGGCTAGGAAAGTAGCAGCTGCTCAAGGGGGGTCAGGAAGTCAGTGGTATTAACTCCGTGATACAACTCTGGTCGACTGGGATGGATACGACTTGATGGTTGGCTCATAACCGAGCTCTTCCATGATTAATTGGTCTACTGTAAATTCATCTCTTATGTGACAGACTTTAGCATTCCTGTATTCCTATCAGGAGGTCTCCGAGAAAATTAAAATACGCAACTAACATGAATCTACGATTCCAAGTATGAGAAGACTGCATGGATTCTCATCCATGATTATTCTTCTGTTATCCAAGATCGAAGTGGAAGACTTATAGAATGATCTGAAGCTAAGGAAAAGATGAACTGGTAACATTCACTTGTTTTTGTTTTCTACGTTGACATTCTTTACTCCCGTGACTTAAAAGGCTGATCTCGTGTACATGTGCCTGTATCATGTGACCAAGTGAACTAGGGTTGGACATAGCAATGATCTGAGATAAGGTTTTGCTGTATCAACCATGTTGCTGCTTTCATTTGTATTAGCGTAATGTTCCCGTAGTTGTATAACTACTAAAAAGTTTGTTGGACGATAACTTTTACTTTGAAATTGTATGAAAATGTGGTTCTCTAGTCTTTCTTTCATTTGTATTAGCGTAATGTTCCCGTAGTTGTATAACTAAAAAGTTTATTGGACGATGACTTTTACTTTGAAATTGTATGAAAATGTGGTTCTCTAGTCTTTCTATACTCGTATGCTTCTTGGTTTTTCCTCTGTGTGATATTACATCTCTCTTTAGTAATCCCTAACTGAAATGAAGATTGGAAGGTTGTGAATTTTTCGAAGTTGTGATGCATTATCATAAAGCCGACGTGAAACTGATGTTGTGAATGCACCGACTGGAGTGGCAAAGGGATGTAAATCATATTTCTATCTCAATTCCTGTTTGTATTATAGAATTCACAATAAGGTTGCTATGATCTTTGCCTTACCCTCCTTTTTGAATCACTGCAATCCAAGGGTAGTTTCATTATGTCCATAGAAATGTCTTTAACATTTGACCCATTTGGCTATACATTCTAGCAAATCAGTGATAATCGAGGACAGCTCTTCGTCAGGTGCTCAAATCCTTCTGTTTGTACAACTGCTGAATCCAAAAAAGACTCGATGTTCAGTTTTCAATCAAAGGAAATGAAAGATTTTCAAACATGGTAGCTAATGATGTAGTTACTTTACATCTTCCAGTACACGTAGCAATGAAACCCAACTGAGTGGCGGAATTGGCTTCATATTTTTCACAAGGTCAAGGAATTTTTTGGAAATATCAGTATGTACGTGTGAGAGAACTATTAACTCAGCATGACAGAGATCCATCTTTGTAATATAGAAATACGAAATGAACATGCATGGAACTCCAAGATCTAGACCAAAACCTTAAATTACATGTTCCAAGTTGCTTCTAAGACTAAGCATCCAGAGAAAGCTCATTCATGCTCGGCGATATCTTTTTTTACCCACTTTTGGCGGGAAGGGGTGCGTACCCAGCGAACTCACCCTATCCATGTGGCCTGACAAGATTTCATGATTGTGTATTTGACCTAATTTTACTGAAAGTGCTTGTAGAAGTATAATACCCTGAGTATTGCGCATTTTCGAATGTCAGGGTCGTTGGCCATATGAGGGAAAGGCTACCTTGGGCCTTGCGTTGAAGCACTAGGACCCTTGGGTGCCGCATGGACAGTCTGTGTCAACTGCAGGGTGACGATGCTTATAAGGTGAATTGGATAATATTAAAAAACAAAAAGAGTTAAAATCTTGTCTACATTGTCTTGAACATTTCAGTGATACATAGAACACATGCCATGAAAGTGTACCTTTTAAATTTTCAGGCTTCGCAATGAACTCAATAAACTCCGATTTCACTTGAGAATAATTGCGCTGCTTTGCGAAAGCGAACTAGAGGCTACTACAGTGTTTTGATGGCAACATGTTCTCTAATTCTAGCCTCACAAAGTAACTCGAAGTCTTTCAAGTGCATAGCGGTCTGCAGCAGATAGTAGATGTTGTGCCATCGCAGATTTCGACCATTTTGAATTGAGACTGAAATTTTTCCACTTCGGAAAATACATTCAGTATAGATACTGAAGTAATGCCTACAAAGTACAAACAACCAGCCAAATGACTCAAACTTATAATTAGCAAAAGAGAACCCGAAAACCAAATAAAATTTTCCGATTTTGTGTTAAATCATCCACGATATGACTGTGAGAAAGAAAAACGAGGTGCACGAACGATATTATATTTATGGTTCCCAAAAATATAAGATCCAAGGGAAAAATCAAGAAAATATGAAACTCCAAATCACAAATGTTTATATTTATGGTTCCCAAAAATACAAAGAATATCAGCATCTCAAACAACCCAAAATCATACATATGAAACACAAAATTTTGCACGCGTTTGAATGCTTAGACTGGATTTGTGAATGCCATTAAACCCTTTTTTGGCCTAGTTTCTGTCTGTTCCTTCTGTATAGCTTTAGTTTCTGTATATTCTTACATAACAGTTTCCCATATTCTAGTTATTTTATTCATTTGACATGGCTTTGGGACGAATATTGAATGTATGAATACGAGTTATGCTTTAGAATGAAAGACAATTTTTATTCATTTTCTTTGTTTCGAACGATCCATCACTACTTTTAGTGCATATTTGGTATGCAGAGTATTGAACATAATGGACAATATAATATATTTACATTATAGAACATGCATTTGCATTCTCATCACTAAACATCATATGAAGTTCACTATCCTCGCAATAGCGATCGAAAATCAAAGAATTTGTAAATTGTTTTTCATTTTCTTCAAGTGCTAAATCCCCTTCTTCTTTCTTCCCATCATTTTTGTCAATATCAACAATTTCCACTTTCTTCCCAGTCTTCTTCTTCACTTTCTTCATTACTTTATGTGGATTGATCTTCCCTGTCACTACCACTTTGTGATTTCTCATGTCAGTCACGAACTTCTCCACTCCTGTTCAACCATTTCAAAGATTTCGACGGATCAGCTTTATTCCCGGTAAATTTTATGTCCTTAACATTTATCCTTTTCGCCACTCCATTATGTTTATTACTACAAACAGAGTCCAATGGAGAAAATAATATAGAAATAGAAGTATTCAAAAATGTCAATGAAACTAATATTTAAAATAATTGGACAATTCACTTAAATCACGACATCTCGATTGACACCTTGGACCCAGGACACTAGGTATGCCCCCAACCCAACCAACATTCGAAATGTCGTGATTTTAGTGGATGGTCCTATCTCGCGTGCATATATAAGAATCTCATTGAAATACTTTTACGTATACGTAAACATAAACATAGAGAGGCAAATGGGAGGAAGACAACCTTTGATTCTTGAAATGGCTTTGGCTACACTTCTTTCACATGCATTACAATGCATGGAAACTTTAAATTCTGCAACCACAACCTGTTTCAGTTTTAATGGTAAGACAGTAAATTATTCTTTTTCAGAAACATTATTTCATTATATTAATGTAAAATACATTTATTTTTTCTTACTTTGTCGATTTTTGTTTTCTTCTTCTTCTTCTTCTTGTCTGCCATTGGAACTGAATTCAATAAAAGAAATCGTCCAAACAAATTTAATGGAGGGTCAAGGGCAGTTATTGCAGTTATTTAATTGTCCAATGATAATTCTTCCACAAAAGTAGGGTCGGAAATAATAGGATTTTTAACCTCGGCCAAATAGATGTAAATAAAAACTAACTATTGATATAATGAAATTTTAGGAGTTTTATATAATTTTAATATGTGGTTTTGATTATGGATGCGAAAAGATCATGGTTAGGCTCGTCTCGCATTGTCCCGCTCTAAATCTTATTTTTATTATTTATTTTTATATTAAAATTTTTATTTTAGAAAATAATATTAAA